AGTGCTGACTGCTGCATGTCGGTGATCTCTGAAAGCAGTGCAGATTATAACTGATGCAGCACGTTCACCAGATAAGTGCACATCATCATGATACTGTGAACCTTTGCATGCAAACGAGGCTGTCAGACATGGTCTGCGATAAATGACCTTTCTTATTTTAAAGCAAATATAATGTGAAGTCTTGTTTAAATCATAAAGAGTGAAAGTTACCTCAGGCTCGTCCTCGTTTTGGTTGCCTTTTTCCTTTGGTAACACTTTCTAATACAGCCTCTGACTAAAGGCCATAATTCCTCAGTAATTAAAAAGAATTCCAGTGTATTTTATTTGAAATTGCATACAAATACCTAAAGGTAGGTACATTAGAACAAGGGAATAACAAGTCAGGTTTTTACAGAAAACAAACAACTATATCTTAAATATTAGTACTGCCTAATTTCCTGGTAATTTAGCAGGAAAAACAAACAATATTTTCTCATCTTGCAGTACGCTGTAAAGTACTTTTTGAGACGTGGGTTGTGTTATGGAGTGGCTTCCCCTTGTCTAACCTCAACTAAATAGAAAATCTATTGTGTAAAAAAATAAAGGTTTAAAAACAATAAAAGGGTAATTCACTCAATATGGCCTGCACCCCAAAAAGCATAGCACACTTATGATGTAAGATTGGAAAGTGTTTTTCTGCAAAACACTACTTAAAATTATTTACAGTATCATTTGTGTCTCCTTTCCTGTAAAATACCCAAAATACTCTTTCACACATAAAGACGACATCTGACAACCTCTGTTGTACCCTTAAAGATGAGTTTTGATACCTTATCCTATATCATTGAAGTTGTGGTTTGGTGACTATTAGAATAGTAGAGATCGGCCTCACTAACGTCTGATGTGAACCCAGTCATTTTGTCTATAAGAAGGTCTTAAAGGAAAGCTTCAATGGGTAAAGAGTTAATGTTGTGGCTCAACATCCAAACTTTTAAACCACTGAGTTCACTGTAATTTGTTGTGTAAAATGTACACAAATCCTGTAAAGGAAAGTGTATTTTTAAGGTATTTTACAGTAAGACTAATGTGGGACTTGTATCTGCGTTTGTAGAACAGCTCTAACTCATTCAAGGGGTTTTATGAAAAAGTAAACAAGAATCTCGGGCAGCTGTAACTTGCCCCACATAAAAGCCGTCATGTCAAATTGGTATTAGTCTGATTCTGTCAGAACTCAAGACGGGGATATTTCTATCCCTTGACTCACACTTGTTCTTGGCTCCTGCTGCAGAAATGAACATATTTTTTAAATTAAGATGGGACCGGATCTATTCACACACGGGGTTCACTGCAAGTTCAACGCAGAACGAGGAGAATGAAAAGAGAACGAGGTTGAGTCCGGGTGCGGAAAAATACCCACGTATGGAGTAACTCCGTGTACTTTTGAGTGGTGTCGTGTTTTTGTCTGATTGAGGGCTATAGAGCACCAAAACAAGCCGACCCTTGTGATGAAACCAGAGGGGCGATTAGGCAGCACGGGTGCTGCTCTTTTCCCGGGATTAGCAAAGCAGATTAATTATGGAAGGTCCCTTTAAGCTCATTCTGCCCCTTTAATTAAACCTAAACTCTTATCTACCAACACACACATTCATTTCACTCTCCGTGCTCTCAGGACTACATGCTGACTCCACTGCACTTTATCTCTTTCTCTCCATCCCCTTCTTCTCTCAGCCTCCTTCTTTCTGTCCTCTCCTCCTCCTCCTCCTTCTTCTTTTTCTTCTTCTCCCCCCACACACACAGTTAAATCCCAGCCCGGTGCTCCTGCTGTGTGGTCACTCTCTCCGTTTCGGCCTCCACTTAGCAGCAAAAACCAAGTGCCTATTGTGGCAGCCAATCACATCCCGAGTTTTACTCTCAGAGCTAAGTGATTGGCTCTTTGTGCTGAGCAGTTTTAGTGAGGCTATCTAGTTCCAGTGCTGCCTGTTGACTCAGTAACAGACAGTGTGTGTGTGTGTGTGTGTGTGTGTGTGTGTGTGTGTGTGTGTGTGTGTGTGTGTGTGTGTGTGTGTGTGTGTGTGTGTGGGCTCAGCAGCAGGTCTGTCTCTGATAAAGTTGTGTCTTTTGTGGATTATGTAAAATGTATCAAGACTCCAACTAACAGTCATTTCTAATTCTAGTTGATCGCCCAAATATTTTTTCTTTATCCATTTAGTCTCATAAATTCGTAAAACATGTCCTGATGTTCCACAGGTCAGCTTAACAACCTTAAAATATCTTGATTTAACAGAAAAATGTGCTACGTCATAAGATTCACGGAAATATAAAGAACTATGCTTAAATCAATAATTAGGAGTGTCATAAACATTGTTTCAGTCATCGTGGCTTCCAGTGTTAGTGTGGCTGAACAGTGTAAAGGCTCACCAGAACTCTTTTAGCAGTTAATTGCATGTCTTTGGACTGTGGGAGGAAGCTGGAGTGCACGCAGGGAACAAACAAACAAACTGAACAGTGGATCTGAAGCCAACAGCCCTAATGTAGCACCTACCACATGAGCTATCCCAGTCCAGGTGAATGCAGCCTGGACAGGCCGCCAGCCAATCACAAGGGCTAACATACAGAGAGCCAGGAGAGGCTCCAGCGCCCAGAAATCAGATGGATGTGTTGTCTCTTATTTTATTTTTCCTTTGTCTTTAAATATGACTTAAATAATGGTTAAATAAAATAAGGTTTCTATAAATAAAATGGCTTTTATTTTTCTCATGCACTGAGTTTACACACTGTTCTTTAACTAAAGCTAGCCTGTTACATCAACAGTGCACTGCTAAGAGGAAGTCTAAAGAAAAATTGCACTCTATTACATTTTTAAAAAATGAATCAACCACACAGCAAACAATCCTAAAACTGTTAACTGATGAAGTAAATTTAATATCAATATCTCAGAGTAAACATTAAATGACAGAGGAGTCACACATGGCCTCTTTAGAAGCCCCCAAACATGTGCCTGCGTACGTATTTCAGTCCTGATCTGGTGTCAGATTGTTGCATTGATAATCGCTGTAAACACTTGTGGTGTGTCTGTGAGCAGCGAGGGTCTCGACCTCATGTCTGCTAATCTGCTCCAGATGTCCACCACCCGCTGTCACGCAGAGCCACAGAGCACCAACATCTGTAAACATCTGATGAACAACATCCTAAAACGGTGCTGCTGTCCTCGCCTGTATCACCAGAGTGATGTCATCCCACAAATCAAAATGAAACTACAAGCTTCCAGCTGGGCTTCCTGCTAATATTAGTGCGACGCTGGTTATTTAAACGGATTTATTATTAGCTTTAAATGTATTTTCTTACATTACATCACCACGAGAGAGAATTAAGTGAGCATCTGCCAACGTACACACCTCGGCACCCTTTATGTATTAGCTTTAAGCTAATAAGCCTGCAGACAGTCTTTATCTTTAGACCTTAAAGGCAGTATGAAATCATTGTAAGGTGATAATTAAAGCTGAACAAACAGCAGCTTAATAATCTGTCAGTTGCATGAAAACAGACAAATCCTAAAATCTGGGAACAGATATGAACAAAGTTCTCAAGCCACCCCTCATTTCTTTACATTTTGCCTCCAAGGGGCCAGACTTTCTCCTCAGTCTTAAACTGTTCTTGAATAATAGTTGTTTAGACATTTGGCTGCTTGTTCACTCATTTTCAGTCCAGTCCTTGTACCTGACAATTTCCAGGGGGATGTTGTTTTGTTTGTTAAGCCAATGCACACTAACCAATGAATCATTAAAACATTTTTACAAGAACCAAACTCCAGCGATGAGCCTGTGTTGTGTCTACATGTGACAGTCAACTTCGCAAAGAAATCATTTAAAACTCTTCCCACCCCCAAGCACGGTGGTGCAGTGGTCAACAGGTCCTTCCTGTGGAGAGTTTACATGTTGTCTGCGTGGGTGAGTACTCTGGTTTCCTCCCACAGTATAAAGACATACAGTTAGTGAGGTAGGTTTATCTGGTGGTGTGTATGCCACCTCTCACCCTACGGCAGCTGGGATAGGCTTGAGGCTCAGTGCCAACAGGTCTTCTGGAGTTATGAATCCACATTGCAAATTTTTGATTCAAGTAATTTGGGAGGTCAGGTGAGAGGTACAACAGTGACTGTCTACATGCAGCCAAACCTCTATCAAAACTGATGGAAATATGAATAAAGAAAAGTAGCATCAAATTTGACTGTAAAATCAGATGCAGGATCCTCTGGAAAAGCATCTGATTGGAAACGTAATCATATTTCAGTATGATAGTTATCCCAAACACACTGCCAGGGGAGTAAAAGCATGTGAGGATAGAAGAAAACAGAATGGTCAGCCATTATTTGGCCTCCCCAGAGCCCGGACCTCATCGTTATTATAAAAAGTGTGAGATCATCCTGACAAAGAGCAGAACAAAAGGCAGCCAAAGAGCTTTGAATGTCCTTTAAGAATCCTGGAGACCTATTTCTGCAGAATAATTAAATAAATGTAGAGAAAGATGCCTGGAGAATAAAGAGGGTCATACCAAGTATCGGCTTTCAGGCTTGTTGGAAATGTACTTTTGTGTATGTTTGCAGATGTTTCAAAAAAAAAATCCCTGCACATTATTTCGATTTTCATACTAAAGTATTAAGAAACTACAGGGGGCTAAAGACTTTTGCACAGTACTGCATAAAGAAGTAAACCCTGTGAGTTAGAAGCTCAGGCTTTAGACTCAAGAGAATTTTATGTTTTTTACTTTAGCTCTGGAGCTCCTGGAGTTAAAATCACTTGTGTGAAACAGGTAATGAACTAAAGGCCTGAGGAAAGGTGTAGTATAACACAAATGTGGATTATTTTGAACTGAATCATGCAAAGCTACTCTAGCAGAGTCAAAGAGTAAAAATGTGAAACTAGAAAACAGCATAGGACCTGAAGGACACATCATTCATCCCACTTTCCTGATAAAACTTAGAAATCAAACTCCAAACACGGAAAAATATTTATTCTTATCTTTATTGTATAAAAACAAAAAAAAGTACAAAATTCATGTAGAAATTTTACAATAGAAAAAAAGTTGAAAACAGCAAATACAAACTGCATGTGACTGGCCGACCGACACTGAGCTTTGCTGGTAGGAAAGAGGCGAGCGCTAAACCAGGAGAAACATCAGCTACGAGCTCGCAGAGTTCACCGGCCGCTCTGATGACGGCAAACACGGCTAAAAGCACTGCGAGCAAAAGGCCGGACAAATATAAATATACAGGCTGTGAAGGAGAGTCTACGGAGCGAGCGGTTTAACCTCTGCTCAGCTCAGAGTCAGCTGAACTTCTACAGGCTGTGGTATCATTACGACTTTATACACAAAGGCTTTCAAAAGTCTTAAAAACAAGGCCCGGTGCTAAAAACGTAGAAAACGGCCGAGTGAGAGCGGCGTTTCAGACAGGCTGAAAGGCCCCACGTTTCCTGAAATAAAATGAAAACCGATAAGTGGGCACTTTAATCCAAAGTACGTTACAGTACATCAATCTGCATTCTTGAGCATGTGTAGCACCAGCAGCACTACAGCTGTCGAATAAAAACAGAAATCACACGGTTTTGGAAATAAATTTACAAAGAAAATCGTCACAGACGACTCGGCATCCGTTTGGTTCGCCCCAGTCGATTCAAGCTGCTAAACACTGAGTATTGCTATGAGCCTGCGACGGCAGATTTCTTCTTCTTTGTGCTTTAAAAGAGGCTAAAGGGAAACTTTTTGGTACCATTTCTTCCCCATCTCATTTCATATTCACAAATGTGGCTTTCACATGGTTCAGTAATGCTCCTCACGTCTCATTTTTCACATTTGCTTCGTGGCCAAAGACAGCAGAGAACAGAGTGTGAGTGAGGCCGTTTGTAATGCTTTCTAACACAGTACTGCTGAGAGTGTTTCTGCATGAATGAGTGTTTTCACTGTGGGTGATTTCTAAATCAGTCCGTTTTTTAACTGTTTCAACTCAAGTAGCGCTTAAATTAAAGTTTTTGATCGGGAATGTGTGAAAAAAAAACAAAAACAATAACATAAAAAACCCCAAACAAAAACCATGCTACAGCTAGGCTACTTTTCAAAATAAATTATGCTCTTAATACGAGCAATCGACCCCCCCCCCCTCCCCCCGCTTTTTAAACTACAATGAAAATAATCCCACAACCAGAGGGCTCACCTGACAAACATCATCGAATACTTTCCAACAATCATAAAGATCCAAATCATATATTTCTCTTTTGCTGATATCTTCCCAAATCCACTGGATTTAAATTCAGACTCTACAGTTACAACATAAAAAACAAAACATCTTCCAACTCTCCATCCAAACCTTTGGATTGGGATAAGTTTCATCTTCCAAAAGAATATTTACAGTTGATCAAGTAACTATGAACACTGTCAACACAGGCGGGCGAGCGAGTGAAGCTGGAACGTTTGAATGTAATGTGAACGCTCGAATCCAGTGACTGCAAACAAGCCACTCCAACATTAAGTGTGTTTTATTCACTCTGTGTGTGTGTGTGTGGGGGGGGGCTGATTGTCCTGGTGTTGGAGATTAGACCTCAACAGAGCGCCAAGCAGAAAGGCACATTGTACACTGACATGAAGCAGATTGAGAGAAAGGTTCGGTCTGTGCTTCGCTCCGTTTTGTTTTTCCCTGCGATGCAACCACAGCGCCCAGTTTTCACAGTTTATAAGAAGAGGGACACAGGTTGCACGATAAAGACACAACGGCAACACGCACACATCAGACGAGGGTCAAATCGTGCCTTTGACAGTCCTGTAATGCTGAACACCGCAGCAGAAAAACACAATTTTTTATATATTCAGAGGGAAGAGCTGGAGAGATGCAGTCTATTGAAACTGAAATGATTTTGCATCCTCCAGCTGATATTAAAATCAAAAGATTTACCATCCTAATTTTAAATATCATTTCTGTACTTTAACCCTGGAAGAGCATCACAAATCCCAAACTCTGACAGCACGGGGTTGGAATTAGGGCTAAGGCTCAGAGGTTCACATACCTCATACACTTCTAGTGGCTTTAAACTTTTCTAAGGACCTCACAGCTTCTGTTTGACCCACATCTTCCATGTGTGCACACACACATACACTCCGACTCACACGAGCTGAGTCACACCTGCTACATAAAGAGCTGAGCCCCGAGACACGACATTGAGAAAAAATAATAATAACAATTTTACAAAATATACAGGTCAGTCCATCAGCAGCGGTCCGTACCAGCAGACGGGCTGACTGACAGGCAGTCAGACGGACAGGCAGGGTCCAGTTTCCACAGGAAGCAGCCCGATCCAGCTGCCGCTTTCATCTTCCCAACGCCTCTTTTGTTCAACGGATGTTTTCAGTCGCACCTCCAGGTGTGAGTGACGATGAAGAGCAGCAGCCAGTCCGGGTTGTCTTGTTCGCTACAGCAAGTCTATGTGAGCCTGTAGAGAGTGCTGAGAGTCTGGGTGATGAAGCTGAGGAGGCCTCGGCAGACGTCTCTGAAGTCGTGCCAGTGAGGGCCGCCGTGCTGGAGGGAGAAGGAAAAGACCAAATGAAGTCCAAATAAGATTCAACAACATTTCATTATTCAACAACTGACCTTTTTAGATGCTAAAAATGCGCATGCATTGACAAAATGACCCCGAAACAGCTCATAGAAGACACTTAATCACATGGCTGCAGCTTCGTGCAAGTCAATGTTGTCTCCAGATGCCCTTGTTGACACACGGAGGAGCAGCAGCAACAACAAAGTGATTGAAACTATATAAACGATGTCAGCTGATCATTTATGAACTTTCAGAGATGCTACATTGGTTGAAGATTATGAAGAAAACTGTGCAGACACCTCTCTGAATGAAGAGAACGTTTATATACCAGAATCATGTTTAACCTCGATTTACTCAAATCATATCAGCTGCAAACATCTGCCCAGTTATTTAATCCCATTTTTAACTTCTTAGGTGCAAAGGTTAACTCAGGCTCAGTGGATGCTGCTCAGAAACCGCTTATCCTGCAGAGGTAGCCCCGTCGTGACATGGCAAGTACTCGTGACGCTGTAATCGCCTAATCTGACAAAGTCACCGTGTTATTGGACACAAATGTCACATGATTGAACATAAATGTGCCATTGTCTTACTCCTAGGAAGAGAAGTAACCAGAAAAGACACATACGTCAACCCCACTGTGACAAAGAATAACATCTACTAAAGGAAAATTCTTCCTGCTGTGACAAAACAAATTTCCCACGTGTGGGACTAATAAAGGTTATCTTATCTTATCTTATCTTATCTTGAATGGACAAAAAAAATATATAGATGCATTTAGATGTTTCCATGTTGAGCTATGAAAGGTGCCTTTTCCTGCTTTTTGATTTGTTTTTCATGTTTTTAAAATATTAATAAATATATGCTTCTGAAACAAGAAGTGGCCAGAAAGAGATAAATGGAGAGAAAGACTAATAATGAGGAGCGCTGAGCCCGAACACGAGGAAAACAAGAGTGTTCCTGTGTGGAGGACGATGAACCTCTGTGGCTGTGGTTGTGGTTACACCTCCCTATATGCTTCCTTTGCAACCTCCATCCCTCCTTCCTCCCTTTCCTCATTGCTTTTGTTTCAAAGTGCTCGTTCAGAAAAACTGACTAGATCATAAACAACACACACAGTTTCCTCAGTTTCCCCCAGAGACTGAAGTATCTCTCTCAGTGTGAAGACAGAGCGGCAGACAGTTACACGAGAAGCAAACCCTGAAACCTGCTGCACTTGTCTGCAAGGAGGAGTACGCGGGGAGGCGGGTGGGTGGCTACATCCTCATAAAGTGAGCAACTCATGTCTGAGTGCGAGCCAGGAGGAGGTGACGTCATCTTTGTTTGTGTGCAAAAGGCGGGATGGTGAGGGAGTGAGAGGGGAGAGGAGGTGGGAGGGAGGAGGAGGGGAGGGGGGGGGAGGTCACTGCCGACTCCTCACGCGATGTAGAGCACAGAGGCAGGGCGGGGCCGGAGAGGGAGCGAGATAAAGAAATAACAATCAAAAGAAACAGACAGTAAAGGGAGGAGAACGCTGTCATTCAGACAAAAGGAAGAAAAAAAAGGATTAAAGAGCTCCATGTGTGACCTAATTTCTGAATGAAAGGAGAGAAAGAAGAAAGAGCTAGATGATGCAAATTCTGGAGAAACCTCAGGATTGCTGCTATTGCAGGTCTTAGTTTCTTACCTGCAGCTGAAAAAAACAAATACTAGACACAAGGCCTTTATTGTGCTTTTATTCTTCATTTATAACTAACTTGGGGCTCTTATTGTGAAAATCTGACATAATTATGACCACTCCGAGGGTTTGATATCTACAAGGGACTTGTAATTTGAAAAATCCAGCAGAATTAAAGCATCCTAATAACTTCCCATATATAACTGAAGGCTTTTATTTTGAAAACAACAACAGTTTAACAAAATAATGGATTTTATTTTGAAAATATGAAATACCTGATCTTTCTCATTACTTTCTTCAACTAACAGTGGCTTTTATTTTGAAAAAATTGCATATTTTAAAGCACATTGTAACGTGTAATGTGTATGTGTTAGTCCCCGTAGGGAAATTACTCCTCTGCATTAAACCCATTCACCCAGTGAAGCAGTGGGCAGCGCCCGGCGTACCTCAGGGTAGCCATTCAGTGGAGTTGAACCCCCAACCTTCCGATCATGGTGCAACCACTCTACCTACTGAGCTATCCCTGCCCCCCTAACTTCAACTAACAGTGGCATTTAGTGCACACATAAAGCAACTTCTTATGGAGCAGCTGTTGCCTAGGCTACCATCTAACGTACCTGCCACACCCTCATGTATCAACAGTATCCTTTGCTACAACTGCTTCCCTCGCCTCACTCGCTTCAAAAGGTGAGAAAAGTTTAACTATGGCCTCGCAGCATTCATTATTTTACACCTGCTTCCTTGTAGTTGCTGAAACTCCGTCACTACAGAGTCTTTGGGCACCAGGTTGCTCTAAGTCACTTCCTGTGTGGATGCTCCTTCATGGCAAAAATGTATTGAAACAACTAAGGGCTTTTACTTTTAAAATCTGACATGATCTGCTAACAGCGACTAACTTTGGGTGCTTCCCTGCTGCCCAGATAGAAAACAGATAACTAATGAACAGGAGCAAACAATGAATAAAAGATGGAGATAGGAGCGCACACAGTTGTAATTGATCCACTCGTTCGCACTCACAAATATCGATCTCTCTTCGCTCTCATGCACACGTGCAATTACTCATTGAACTCACATCCACTTATAAACCTGATAACAATGAAAGAGCAGGGCGGGGGAAAGAATCAATGTAACTGCGCTGCTTTCAAGGACTAGAAAGCACTTCGCACTTACGTCACCATCAACTCCACACTGAAAAAAAAACCCATTGCAGTCGCCAAAACAGCTCAGCGACTTTAGGGTTAAAGGTTAAAACTGAGCCCAGTTATTTCCCGTCACCCTCCTTACCGCTCTGCGGAGGAGCGTGACGTTCAGCTCATCTCCAATTGTCCTCAGCTGGTTCGCCACCCTCCTGATCTCCTGCTCCTGCACTGCTTCTCCCCCAGGAGCTCTGCGGCGAGGCGAAGCCCAGGATGGCCGCTCATTTCGGGGCAACATGTTAGACTGAGGTCGCAGCCGGCTGGAGGGCTGCTGGAGCTCCTGTCTGCTCGAGTCTGCAGAAGAAAAGAAAACTGCATATAAGAATTTATTTTTACCTTCCCCATGAACTCCATCTGCCTCTCAAGTGAGAAGAAATGTTCACGTGTGAACGGCCAGAAGCTCCTGCAGAGTTTCTGATTATCATCAATTGATTGTCAACAAGCAGCATACATTAATGGCCTCCTTGTGCAGACAGGTTAAGTCAGAGGGGATGTGTGCCCACACAGACACTGAACTCCTCCACAGAGGAAAACCGGATTAAAAATTACATACAGGGGAATCATAATAATTTAAATTTTATGCATTTCAGTGGGAAAAGAGGCCGAGGAGGTGGATTTTCTTGACCTCCGAGAGTAAATCAGGCTAAAAAGAAATGTTTCGTTTTCTCACACAGACCGACAAACATACAAATTTCTTAAGGAGGAGGCTGATGGAGTGACTTATCTTCCTCTTCATGGAACTTGGGAGAGTAATCTCTTAATCTGCTTAATAAGTCTGGCATAGAGAGCTTTTGTGTGTTTGTTGTGTTTACAGAATGATTTTTGTTTTGTTTTCTTGGACAAGCAGATACCTCAGCCTCCAGTCTGATTCCTCCGTCGTGACAATCCAAACTAAAATCAGACCTGAATCTGTTTGAGATATTATGACTTTAAGAAAACTCGATATATATCATCTTATTCTTTTCATTTACATATCTGTACTTACTTTGTGCATTTTGGTTTAAGTGTTTCTTAAATCCTTTTTCATAGTGTGGAAAGCATCGTAACCGGATAAATACTTTAACTACCTCAGTCTTTTAATTTTGATGCAGATGAACTAATTAAAAGTTAATCATCTGCTGGCTTCGATTTTAGATTTCAGCCTCTTTAATTTGAATAACTCGTCTCTAAAAGCTGAACAGATGCCCTCTGTGACCTCCCTACGGCACACCTTTGGTTCCCCGGCTTGTTTTCTACTTTGTCCAATCACACAGCTTCTTTGAAACAACCCTGTCACCGGCACAACGCCGAGCGCCAGTGGCGCCCCCGGCAACCGAGGCATCCACTTTGCTAGGAGGATTATAACTTATCCTTTAAAGATGCAGGTGACTAGACAGAGAGAGACGGAGTGAGACGGCGAGAGAGAGAGAGAGAGAGGAAGAGAGAAAAGAGAGAGCGGCGAGGAGAAAAAAAAAAAAAAAACACAAACAGGAAAACCCTGGCTTGTTGCCAAGGTAACTCTGAGGCAGCACTCCTGGAGACATCTGCGTGTGATTGGAAGACAGCACAGGGGGCTGAGCTGTGATAGGATGACCTAGAGGAAAGGGGGCGGGTTTCTAGATGAACCTGTCCGTCTGATAGGCTGACGGGGTGACAAGGTGACAGAGAGACCCCCTTGACCAGTTAAGTGTGGGAGCCACTAGAGACAGAAGGGGTGGGTGAGGTGAAGAGGGGGTGGCATTAAAAACCTCAGACTAAACCTAAAGACACACCGACGGGGGAGGCAGAAGGCTTAATGGTGAGCTGGATAACTCTACCTACTTTAGTTCTGTTATTAATATTTCACTAATATCTATAAACTTGGGATGCAACAAGCCTCCAAAACCACCATTTCTAATGATCTTTAAGCAGTACAGCACTCATCAGGCTAATATGGCCATAACGTTATGGGAGGATGTCCCGTGACATGATACCGTGGACGTCTGTAATGCAGTGTCTTTACTTTTATAACACCCGTATAAGAAACAGATACCTGCAGATGAACCGAAACAGAGAAGAGCAAAACAGGGAACTGGGAACTATCTAGTTTACTGAATTTCCGCTGACTGCGCTGGAAGCTCTGAAACATTGTTTCCTTAACAAATACACAACCTAAGCAAATGCGCTGCACACGAGCCCGCGAATGACGTGACCGCAAAGGAGCGCATTGTACAGCAAAGCAAACTATCTCACCTTGATGACTCGCTGCGAGCTTTGGAGCAATTAACTAATGAGTAAACCATTTTAAGACTCGCGGCCACAAACTTTCCTAGACATCACCTGAAAGCATAAAAATCTGGCACATTGTCCGGTCTTTAACCTGTCAGCTTCCTGGTAAAAGATAAAGAAAAAAAATCTGTGTAATGTTTGATTGCGGTGATGTGTGAATAGCAGCTATTCAGGTGTCTCTCTCACCTAAAGTACTTCCTGCAGCGACAGAACATTTGAAGCGGACTACTTCCTGCTGTAAAGCATCCTGACCAGGAATCATCCAACGTTCATGTGTGAAAACAGTCTGACCCTCTGGTTTATTAAATAATTGGCTGACTGATGGTGGCTCAATAATTATTACAGCTTTACGACTAATTGATTAACTCGGTTTCTGTGCAGATAGATGAATAATCAACTTACCCACTCACTGAATAACAAATCCACTTGCCCATTAACTGGCTTAGTGATTGACTCATAAGCCTGCTTAGCAAACTTTTAATCTGATAAACCGACTTTTGTAAAGCTGTTTTTTTAAAATAATAATAAAAAAAAACCTAACTGAATAAATCCCTGCAGCTTTGACTCTTTGGCCTCATTTCCTGCTGGTGACACACTGACAGGCTGACCTGACTCTGTGCTGCCGGGCTGAGCCTCTCATGAGGAGGAAACTGCAGATTGTTTCTTTATTGCAGGCGGGGACATGTCTCAACATGCCTGCATGCACAGCTGAACTACAGCTGAGAGAGGAGGAGGAGGATGGTAAGATATTTGTTTACATTGCTACAGCCCTGTCACAACAGCATGGGTTAAAGTCAAACCTGCTGAGCCACTTCTGCAACCTCACCTGAATTCACCTTTCTGATAAATTTTCCTCCAGGATACAGACTCTTGGGCTTACTTCACCTGATTCCTGAATCGCCCGGAGAGGTAATTTTCTTTCTGAAGCGGAGGGCTGAATGTCTTAAACAGCCTCAGGCACAAATCAACATCTTATCACAGACACCTTATTCAGAGCGACAGCAGCACAATGAGCTTTCAGAGCCCTTTTTACTAATATTACAAAGTGGCAGCGACTCTAATGTCCCCTGGAATGAATCCGGCCTTGCGCCATAAACTGAGCAGTTTGAGGCGTCTGTGGCGCCTTGGGCAGCTTCTTGAAAGATCAGCATAAAGGCCAGCTGGCCTCAAGGTCACTCTGCCAAAGAGGGACCACATGTTGATCCCTGCGACAGCTGGAGCACATCTCATCTCTACCCTCCACCTGTCCCCACTCATCAGCGCTGCCCAAACAAACTCATGTCAAGTAAATAAAGCCACGGCTCCAGTAAACACATAACCAACCGATACTCTCCTGCTAACTGATAACGCTGGTGTTTACTTAAGGGTGGGGGTCTGGAAGGCAAACACTTGCGTGTGGTTGTGGCTGAGTCACATCTGATCACAACCGCTACTGCTCGTTGTGTATACATGCAGCTTGCTTCCTGCTGCAGCGGCTTTTAAAATCAGATTTGCTAAGGCTCACCTGACCAGCCGAGACAAACTGAGACAGATTCTGACATTTTGATCTGTTACACTGTAAGACAGAGACTTTTTCTTTTCTGGAATATGTTAAAAACTACCACAAATTAAAAGAAATAAAGCTTCAATTAAAGCTGCAAGTGTACTGCACAAGACAAAGTTTAGCTTCCCTGAGTTGTTGAACAAGAGTTGTTGTATTTGTGCTATATCCCTGACAGAATGTGCCCCACATGGCTTCACACAAACATACTATGTTCCACATTTACTCTGTTGGAATCACTCTGGCTGTGGCTGAAAGGGTAATGATTAACACCGCACTCGGGCTTGGTGTTACATTAACCTTCTTTTCTGCCAGCCTGTCAAAACAAGTAGAACTACCCCACGTAGTTTTAATATTACACCATGCTACAACTCACTGTGTGCAAAACTGTAAATATTCAATATTACCTGAACGCTCTCCTGAGACGTCACCGGGTGCAGGTGCACCTCTGCACCTCAAATCCCTCCGGTTGGGAGGCGATGCTGCGGGTAACTGCTGGTGAACTCGGGGGTCGTCGTTGTCGTCTGGGTGGGAGTACGACAGCGGGTACGACACATAGAGAGCCTGCATGGGCTGCAGGTGATGGTAGTGATGGTGATAGTGGTGGATGTGTATGGCACCAGTGCTGGTCCCGGAGGAGGAGGGGGTGGTGGTCGTACTATTGAGCATCCCAGGCCAGGTGTGGAGGGGGCAAGGCAGCTCCACTCGGCAGGTGTTGTGACACGGAAGAGAGGAGTTTCCTCCAGCAGGGGTTTCTCCAGCGCTCTGTATGGTCTGTGCTCTGGCCATATCAGTTGTAGCCTAATTAAGGAAGACAGAAGTTTTAAAATTTTGTGTTAATTTTCAATTCAGTTGTGTTTTTACAGTTTAAAGTTTTAGTTCTGTTTTTATTGGTTTCAGCGTTGGTTTTGGTTTTTGTTATGGCTGCCATTCATCAGAAAGTATAACACACACCCCAGTCTCCATAAACACAGGCACTAAAGCTTAACTCAAAATTAAGACCTCTCCTATATATAGATTTTTTTATTATTTTGCCCATTTTTATAAATATCCAAAGTTATTTTAGTTTTCATTGTTTTAAAAAGTTTTTACTGGTTTTTAGAGGTTACGTTGTTTTTAAAGGTGCAAATATACAAGACTGTGTAAATTAATTTATTATAACAACTAAAAATACGTCAGACAATAATCATTTTAGTTTGTTGAGCGCACAGAGGCAGCTGGACGGTGTAAAAACAAGTAAACTGAAGATTTAAAAAAAATAAAATAAAAAACCACAGATCTATTTTTAGCGCCTCTGATTTTTCCTCCGGTATATTCTGCTGTAGGCCGCTAGGAGGCACCAGCGGCTCCATTTTCGGAGCACGAGACCTGTGTTTGTAAACAAATCCGTGCCGCCCGTGCACGAGGAAGCGCGCTCGCGAACTCACACAGCGAAGAACAGGGACGCGCGCGCTGATTTAACGGCGGAACACTTCGATGTTCGCTGTCACCGAGCAGAAAGCGGGGCACGAACAAAACTCAACAAAACCGTTTATTTAATATTTTGTCGCCACAAATGCACCCAATGTTGTTCATTTCCGGGCACAGAGTCAACACTGACAATTTAAAAATAAAATCCACGAGAGGAAAAAAACACAGAAACAAAAAAAACAGCGTTGACTTTACGAACCTGTCCGCACTACCGCGAAACAAAATTAGCTTATATTTATGTTTTTACCGCCACGTTGTTAGCTTTTCGTGCTCTGACATGTCGGGGCTTGTCTCTGTCAGAGCAACGCGAACATCAGCTCACTGCACAAGAAAATAAAACTCTGTGTAAAAATGCACTGTTTGAGTATAAAATCTGAAAGGAGCTTGAAGTAAACGGGCTCGTTCAGGTGAAGTCTAAAGCGCACTCCTGATCCCCACAGCTGGGCAGATGATGCAACTTTGCGCTGCCAACTTCTGCAGAGAGAAATCCGGCGGAAAGCGCTTACTTGGTGGAGGTTTTCTGAAGATCCGCGGCGAGGCTGTCTGCAGGTCTGAACCTGACGGTAACAGGTGGCCATAAGACGGAATAAAAGCTGCCGAAAGAAACCGTGGATGCGCCGGTGAGAAGGCTCCGGAGATGTTTAAAGTCCGCCCGGAGGAAGCCGTGTCACTCCATCCCAGGTGTCCCGCTGTGAATGGAGTCGGTGAATTTTTTTTAATCTCTTTTTGTCTCGGGTTACGTCGTCAAAACAATAATATTGATGAAGATGAGGTGTAGCGGGACTACGTTCTGCCTGGCTTGCTGTCTGTCAGGGTTTTCCGTCTGAGCTGGTCCGTCTCGGCGTTTAAAACGCGATCGGTCAAACATCCGGTCTAGCCTTTCACAATAAACTCCACACAATACAACCAAAATAAACACATCTTTCTCTTTCGGCTTCTCCTGTCAGGGAGCTTACTTCCATCTCTGCATGTCTTCCTTCACTTCATCTTCAACATCTTTTGTCCAATATATCCACCATCCCTCCTCTGCAATTGTCTAAACCATCTCAGACACACAATATATCTGCTTTCCTTTTCCCAATCATAGTCCCTACATTTAATATCCCCCCTCTCACCTGTATAGTCCCAATCACCGCCTCCAAACACACACCTTCCCTCTTGGACACTGGTGTACAATCACCACTCAAATCTAATAGAAAGCCCCCTTATCTGTTTGCCAAATATGATATTTTAAAAAGATTTCCCATCTTTTCTGTGACAGAATTTTCCTATTTCAATCCAAGGATCTGTGAGTGTCATGCCTCTTTCGCATTCAGTAACTAAGTTAAGCAAAATTGGACTCTAAAACTTTCTAGTTGACTTGCATAAAAATAAAATCACTAAGATGTATTTTAACACTTATTTTAACAAATATCATTAATGATTCAAAAAAATTAATGTCTGTGTAAAAAAAACACATTAAAGCAAAAGTTAGTGCACATAATAGAAATCACCACATGTGGGCTCACTTTATGTGCAGACTGAGTCACCTATCCAATGATTTGTGCTTAATTTACTTTTGCGTTTGCATTGTTCTTGCTTTAGCTTTTATTTTGATGGGTTTGTCTAACTTCCGGTCCCTCCCTCCCTCTCCTCCTCCACAACAAGTGCAGACATGCTCCTTGACAGGATGCTGCTGTCTTTAACTCCACCGCTGTCCCCTCTGCCTGCCTTCTCTCTTTCTTTTACATTTTCTTTATATTTGACATTTTATCAAAAACTTTTAAATCCTCTTCAGCACGTCTCCATGGTTTTTTTTTTAACTCGCACATCAAACACTCCTTCATATTTAACAGTTAATGCCCTTCTTGTGCTCTGTTTTTCTTCCCTTCCCCCTTATCTTTAACTTTTTTCATGCCACAGCCCCACACAGCGATCAACAAAACACCCCCCACCTACACACACCTCCTTTCACTCACAACCCCCCCAGCTGGTTTCCCTCTAATTTCCTTCTCTTTTTCAGACACATCCTCAGCAGCTGTAAACAAACAGGCTGTCTTCCTGTTTGGAGTGGAGCTGAGTCAGCCTTTAGCATACAGTAGTGCTGCTAACAACACATTCATTGCATAATCAGTGTGTGTGTGACCAAGACATTAGTGCTTCTGACTGTGGTGAGTTCAGGGTGCATGTGATTCATGCAAAAAAGGAACATATCTTCCGCACTGAGGTCACAACCCTGGGAATTCTGTTTGTTGCATGGGTTATCTGGCAGGGTAATCCGAGTTTAGATCCAGGAGCGTCACTGGTGCACCCATGGCTTTGTTCTGACTCAGCTCAACACCGTCAGCAATAAATTCCACCTTATCCATATCTGGATATGTCTTTGAAATGCAAAGCGAGTGTGTTGAAAGCTTCATTAAAAGTAATTTAATGGCATTCATCAGGAATTTCCTGCAGCTAAACACTAGAAATTATAATCCTGTATACTCGTGTTTCTCATACCTACAGTGCTTCCTTTATCTTGACAGATGTCTCAAATGTTTTAATGTTGTTAATTATAGTTTTCTACAAAATCAGCAAAAAAACCAACTGACATCACTTTTCATCGAAATCTTTATGCCATACTTGGCTGGTTTAGAAGGGATGTGTTGCCTGAAGCTGCACCTGCTTCTGAAAGCTACCAACTGTTCATCCACAGAGAGATCAGTAGGAGGGAGAGAGAGGGGGAGTATTTTGGTAAACGGGCTCCAAACATGGTCTAAAAATCCCTGGAAACAGCAAGTTTGTCCATGGCCTGCCTGTGTGCTCCGGTTACTTGTGTGTTAAACCTGCATGTACTTCAGGATATCTCTAAATCTGCTCTGTCAGCCATGGCTCGCTGCAGAACATTGACAGCATACAGAGATTAGAAGTGGAAACTTACAATGTCCCCTATCCTCGTGGCACAAATAGGCTAATTCCTATAAAAAATTATGAAAAGCTGAAGAAGAATTAGACTGAAACATTCTTCTGAATATTAACACGACTGAAGGTTCGCAGTTAAAGGTTATTATTCTTTTACTACCACATAGTTACCCGAGCTGAACCCTTCACCTCACAGCAATGCTCATATTTAACATATTGACATAAACCTGCAGTAAAGTTTAAAGTCACAACAACAACTCAGCTGTGCAAGCTTTTGTTCCCCCAAGTCTGAGAGCTCTGCATAACATTAGCATCCTAAATGACACCAGAAACTCCGTCATCTCGACCCCTGACCCTCAGATCATTGTTTTTTGGATGCACCCCTCAGCTGCAGGGCATGTGACAAGGGGGCTGCTCAGCTGAGCAGCGGGGTTGGAGGTTGGTTAATCGGCTGGAAATGGCAGCTCGAGTGAGGAACGCTTTCCAACTCTTCCAGCAGCAGATTGCTGCACATGCCTTTGTTTTGGTGCAGGGGGTGGGTCTCCTGTCAGGTACATGCCCGGGCGAACACCCTCTGCCAGCTTTGACACGGGCAGACTTTGCATGACATGTGGTCAACAGTTAGCTTGTAGGGGCGAGATAATGAATGGTAATCTGAGTCAAGACCATCAGGCTGCGTCTGTTACTGGTTTGATTATGAATACGATGAATTATTTTAAATATAATCAACTTTCTAATATTTGTCAGAAGAGTCTGAAATAACTGGATTATCACTGAAGGAGAATTTCCTTCAGCTTTGTCTCCCTCTTTGTTCTTCTTCTGTCGTCTTCGACCTTTCTTCTCAGGAGCAGCACATTCGGATGCACTTCTGCTTTCACCCATGCAAATTTTGTAGGAGTTTTACTGTCACACTCATAGCTTGATCACAAACAGGGTTATGAGTGGGGCTGAGGCCTGGATCACATTCAGGAAAACAGATGCTGTTTACAGACTTTCCATGTAGAAATTTATCCCGGTCATTGTTTTGGATTTTTATATTTAAACACTATGTTTGTTGTACACCTGTAGTGCATCTGAAAGCTGTGAACACACCTGTGTGGTTACTTCTCAAGGCAGTGTGATAAGCTGATTAGACTGAGTAAATCTAATCGAAATAAATGTATTTAAACATCCAGACGTTTGCACTTGTGTTTGTTCATGAATGCAAGTCCAATGTTTCCTCTTTTGTGGTCTCTACCAACTCTTGCGGATGATATCAGGCTCTGGCTGTTAAATGTTGTTGGTCTTTCTGTATAAGCAGGTCAACTATCAGAAAATAGTGCACTACTGTAGTTTTAATGGAATAACAGCCTCTCACTGCATAATATCCTCTGAGGTACTGCTGTTGTGTCCTTGACAGGGGGCTTGTGTCTTACATAAACTAGACTTGAGCCTCTGGTAAAGATTTTGTACCTTAACGCAGCATTTTATTTTTTATCCATTTATATATATGTGAAACCCATCTGCACATGTGCAGGAAGAAAAACAGCAGGTTTAAACTTAAATTCGTACTTGCCGTGAGGTGATATTGCTAACCTGTGCAGTTAAAAATCTTTCTGTTTTTTTTCCTCCTGATATCAAACCTTAAATTATAGAAGAAACGGTGCAAGCATGTTCCTTTAACAGCTCGAAAACAAAGACATACCTTTATGTTCCTTGGAAGGTTCACATAGTCACACTGAGGCCGAATAATTAGTCCCAGAAGGTTTGTGGAGATTATACCAGCTGGAAAATAGACTTTTACGACATTCCTGTTTCTAAAAGTACACAGCTGCATTTTAGACCCCTTTCTGCTTGAAGCTGCCTACTTTCTCCAAACATGAGGATGTTAGAGCAGTTAGAATAAAGGAAGTTGGAGGCAAATTGAAGGATAATGCTCTTCTGAGTCTTTATTGCCAGACCTTTGACTGATACATAACCTTTCTGATTCATAAAAAACGACTGGTTATAATATTGAGATTCCTGCAGCAGGAGAACAAGTGCAAACTGCACGGTTCAGACCCAATGCAGGGCTCCCCAAACACCTGCTGATGCCACCTGTGATCGAGTCACCTGCCAGGTTTTTGGTTCCAAACTGCATCACCAACCTTGTTTTCTGTCCTGCAAAGCATGTCTCTGTGTTGGAGGTGTTATTCGCTGTAACCCGAGGGCACTGGTGCAACAGAGAGACGGTATGACGGCACCAGATCAGGTGTACGCACACACACTCTCTTCGCTCTCTCTGACAGGTAATCGATACCTCTGTAGCTGTGATAAGAATGTAAATGAGATCTATCACCTCGAGTCTCATCTCGTTCTTCAGTCCAACTGAAAACCTCAACCTCAACCTTCATAACGTTGCTGAATTTGGTAAGGTTTCATCTAAGGGTTATGCAGCTGATGGATCTGACCTGAAAGTTAAGAGTTTAGCTTAAATGTGTTTATTTTGTTATGTAAGTGCCAAATTTAAATGTGCTTTGTGTTTTAGATTTTAATCAAGAAAACCTTTTTGTTTACCTTTCACCTGGATGCTTTTCAAATTTCATGTAAAACGCTTTGTTTTGTTGAAGTGAGCTGAACAAACAAATCTGCTTCTTTTTCATTGGTTGTACGTTTGTTAGGAGACGTGATGAGAGCCTTTAGACAGGTCAGAGGAATCCCCATTGTGTGTGTGTGTGTGTGAGTGTGTGCATGTGCGTGTGTGCGTGTGTGTGTGGCTGCTGTTTGTCCTGCAGTAACCAAAGCAGAAAGCCTCAGCTTTTGTCCCCACAGCTGAAAGCTGAGCCACTGTTTGGGTTGTTACAATGACATCATCGTTTTAACCCTCACCCACTCCGCCCTTCATCCCACACCTCCTCCTCTTTCCTGCATCCAGGGCTGAGTTTGCACTCGGACACAACATTGAAAGAAAGGACGTGTTTGTAAAATGTAAAAAG